AGAACAGCCGGCATTGTAGTCTACTCTCCCAGGATCAGGAAACAGTCCTCCATAAACGCGCTGCACGCATCTAAATATTTGGGTTGAACTGTTCTGGAACAGTGTTGTAAATACAACTTAACCACTGATTTCTAGTCGTGTCTATTTCTACTCCTCTTTTGGAAGGCCAAACAAAATATTTTCGCTTTCACAACGAAACACAGCAACTCCACAACATGCGACAACAGTGAGAATAAAAGTTACGCCTTCTTTCTTTGCATGAACATTTGGGCGGCGTTATGCAAATCTTACCACATCATGACGTAGACATTGCCGCTTTAGGAGGGTGTGGTTGACACAACTTTTATAAAGAATATCTCTTTGGATTTGAGACTTTAGTCTTTGCAACTTTACAGATCTTCTTTATGCACCAAGAGCTTGTAACACTCCAAAGAGAAAGGAAAAATTTAAATCGCATCATATGACCCCTTTAAAGTTGTAAAAGACATAAACATAAACCTTGACAGAAATTGGCCTTCAGTTCTGATGCTTCTTGACTTGAGTGCTGCGTTTGATACAATAGATCACCAGATTCTTTTAAATAGATTAAGTGACTATGTTGGTCTATCTGGAACAGTTTTAAATTGGTTTTTATCATATCTTAGTGAAAGAACATTTGTAGTATCTATTAATAATACCTTGTCTGAATATTACAAGGTACCATGTGGGGTTCCTCAGGGATCAGTTTTAGGACCACTGCTTTTTAATCTATATATGTTACCTCTCGGTCACATCATCAGGAGGCATGGCATCTCTTTTCATAGCTATGCTGATGACACACAGTTGTATGTAGCCGTATCTCCTGATGACTCTGTGTCATAATTGATACACTCGCAAATTGCATCCAAGACATAAATGTCTGGATGTCACAAAACTTCTTACAACTCAACCAAGATTAAGCTGAAGTTTTGATTATTGGATCAAAAGTACAGAGAGAGAAATTGACCCCTAAACCAAATATACTGTACATGTCTATCTCCTTTAAAGTGTTTATAGTGTATATAATGAGTTGTATATCGAAATAGAACTGTGCATTAGTGTGAATCGGTGTGAATGCAGCCTGTTAAAGCTGCCACTGTCTGTGATCTGTGAAAATTGAGAATGTGATGCCTCATGATATTAAGTTGAATCGAATCGTTGACATGATAATCGTAATTGAATTGAATCGTGAAACCAGTGAAGATTCACACCTCTATTTTTAAGATGGCAGTACTGACTTACAGAGATTCCAACTATAAACAAAAAGCATAGAAACTGCAATTTTGGTTAAAATCTAAAATTGTAAAGATGTATTTGCACAGCAGAAGAATTAATTAGGAAAAAATGTAGATCAGGAATCGTTTTGGAATCGGATCCTGACTCCCAGAATCGGAATCGGATCAGATCGTGAAGTGCCTAAAGATTCCCACCCCTACTATTAGTGTAGCAGGGAGCCCATGCAAAATTAGACAACTTCAAGCTGTGGTTGCGCCGCGACAGCGCTCGTATCCGTTGTAGACATTACTATCCGTCACAGTGTTGCAAAGTCTGCGGTTTTCCCGTGGAATTGGGCTACTTTATCACTGTTGCCACGGGTTGAAGCGACCCCAATAACGTGTATTTTAGACCCAGGAACACGATTTTTACCGGGGGACCCCCCTCAAAACGCTGTTAGTTTGGGCTAGTTTTGGGCTAGTTTTGAGTAGCAATTGGGCGGGTTTTGTTGTGAAAAACTGGCAACCTTTTCCGTCAAGCAGGTAACGTTATTATTGCTAACATAGCGGACTCAGTTTAAGTGAATAAAATAGCCTTGACAGCCTTACTTACTGGAGATCCACAACTATTGACTTTGTTCTCCCTCATCGGACTTGTGAGTGTGTAGGTGATGTAAAAGAGGAAAGCAGACATTTGGACCAAAGCACTGTGAGGCAAGGGAGGGGGAGACCCAAAATGTTTCTGAACTTAAAACGCATTTTTACCCCATTTGTGTTGTTTTACTACTTACACCAGTGGTTCTCAAACTTTTTACAGCGGCGTACCCCCTGGGGCATTTAACATTCTTCTGCGTACCCCCTCTCTTCCACTTAGACCGCAGTCACACCT